GATAGATAGATAGATAGATAGATAGATAGATAGATAGATAGTAGATAGATAGATAGATGGATGGATGATAGATAGAATGGGATGATGGTAGGGAGATAGAGGAGTGGAGCATTTTAAATGCTGGAAAGCATAGTAACTTGTCATCTGCCCCCATTTCCTGCCTTTCAGAAGCTCAGAACTGTAAGACGCCAGATGCAAAACAATATTTTCTTAATTTTGTATACATATAATTTTATCACTTATCAAATATGAAAGTGAATTTGCCCACTAGTGAGATGTTTACTTTTATTTATCTACTTAAATTGGTTTATTGTAACAAACTCAAAACCACTCAAATACTTTTTGGAACAGTACTTGAAACTTACTCTTTGAAACTTTCACATATTTCTACGATGTATGCTGATCATAGCCATCCATTGTAAAATTTTTTTTTTTGAGACAGTCTGACATAGCCAAGGCTAGCCTCAAACTTGCTGTGTAGCCCAGGAAGACCTTGAACTACTGACTTTGCCTTCATTTCCTGAGCGTTGAGAGTGCAGGCGTGTGCTGCAGGAGGCGTGTGCCGCTGGCTTCTGCTCTGCTGGAGTCAGACCCAGGGCTCTGCCAGCCAGGCCAGGGTTCACAGAGCAAGCCATGCCCTCAACTCTATTTGTCTTTAAAGAAAAAATTGAAATTAATTGATTTTATGTGTCTGAGTGTTTGTTTTGCCTGAATGCAGGCATACACACCACATTTGTGCCTGGGAGAAATCAGAAAAGGGCACGGAATTCCTTGGACCTGGAGTAAAGGATGGTTGTGAGCTGCCACATGAGTTCTGGGAACAGAACAGTTTACAAGAGCAGCCAGTGCTCTAACCACTGAGCCATCACCCCAGCCCACTATTTATTGCTAACCTGACTGCGTTTTGTAGCATAGACTCTTACCAGATATATTCATTATAATATTTATTCTTCCTCTACAGTGGATTATCTCTTCATTCTCTTTGTGTTTATTGAAAGATTGGACAGTTTTATGTCAACTGGACACAGCTCAAGTCATCTGAGAGGAGGGAATCTCAACTAAGACAATGCCTCCAGAAGATCCGGCTGTAGGCAAGCCTGCAGGGCATTTTCTTAATTAGTTGTTGATGGAGAAAGGTCCAGCCCATTGTGGGTGGGGTCACTCCTGGGCTGGCTGTCCTGGGTTCTGTAAGAAAGCAGTCTGAGGGGAGCAAGCCAGTAAGCAGTACCCGTCGTCCATGGCCCCTGCCTCAGCTCCCGCCTCAGCTCAAGCCTTGCCAGAGTTCCTGTTCTGACTTCCTTTTATGATGAACAGTGCTGTGGAAGTGTGAGGCAGAATAACCCTCTCCTCTCATCTTGCTTTGGTTATGGTGTTTCCTCACAGCAATAACAACCCTAGCTAAGATAAACCGATATGAGGATAGTGGGGATAGGCAGCTGTGACAGACCTGACCATGTTTGGGGGAGGATTGTGGATGGACTCTGGAACTTTGGGCTAGAAAAGCCATGGAGTGTTGAGAGCTCAGTGAGCTGCTCTGCAGGAGCTGGAAGATAAGAATGTTGAGGGCAGTGCAGAAGATGGAGGTCTGGCTTGTGAAGCTGCAGAGGGAAGCAAAGACTCTACGGGGCCATTTGTGAGAGGACTGTGGTTCTGGTCAGCTGGGGCTGAAGAGTCAGCTGTGGTTAATAGGAATCAACTACTAAAGTGAAACCTTCACTTTACTGGGACAGTTGATGGTCAGTTGAAGCTGGGAGATTAGTGGTGATTAAGAAGGGCCGTTGTGGTGGTGCACACCTTTAATCCCAACCCTCGGGAGGCAGAGGCAGGAAGAGCTCTGAGTTCAAGGCCAGCTTGATTTACAAAGTGAGTCCAGGAAAGCCAGGGCTACACAAAGAAACTCTGTCTTGAAAAACAAAAACAAAAACAAGCAGGAGAGAGAGAGCAGCATCACTGAGGTGAAATCCTCTGGGACGGTTCCTCAGAGTCGGCACACGTGAGCTGTGGTCCAGAGGTGGGCTAAGCTTGTACATAGCCCTGGAGTCCCTGAAGAGGTCCAGGAGAAGCTCTTGGTGAAGGTGCACCCTGGTTGTCCCTAGGGAACCCAGCTGTTTACAGATGCCAGTACCAAGGGATGACCGCATTGGTGAGGTGGAGCCGCAGAGCTCTGAACACTGTGTGCTGCAGAGGTGGGGCTGGAGAGGAGCCCAGGCCCTTCGGAGGAGCCCAGAAGGTTGTGAGTGAACTGGAGGTTGGATTATTTACACAGTTGGAGTTTGGTTTTGCTTTGTTCAGGTTATGACTGTGCCCCGGTTCTTCTCTTTTGAAGTAAGAAAGTATTTACTTTTTATTTTATAAGAGCACACAGTTGAGACTAAATGTTTAAAGTGTTTGACTTGTAAGACTGTGGGGCTATTTAAGTTTATAAGATGTTTCATATTACTGTATCATCTTGGGCTGAATGAGAAAGGAAAGGTTGTGGCTTAACAGTGACGTTGTTGTGTGTCAGGCTGATAAGGGGTCAGTTGTATTGGAATATTCTATGTCAGCTTGACTCAAGCTAATGACATCCAAGAGGAGGGAACCTCAATCAAGAAAACACTTTCATAAGATTGGACTGTAGGCAGGCCTGTAGGGCATTTTTTTGGTTAGTGGTTGATGTGAGAAGACCCAGCTTATTGGTGGCGGTGCCACCCCTGGGCTGGTGGTCCTGGGTTCCGTAAGAAAGCAGGTTGAGCAAGCCATGAGAAGCAAGCCAGTAAGCCGCACCCCTCCACTCCTCAGCTCCTGCCTCCAGGTTCCTGCCCTGCGTGAGTTCCTGTCCTGACGTCCTTCAGTGATGAACAGCGATGTGATGCGGACCTGTGAGCCAAGTAAACCCTTTCCTCTTGTCTTGCTTCAGTCATGGTGTTTCATCGTAGCAATAGTAACCCTACAGATTTGTTTGTGTTATTGTTAGTGTGTATACACGTCTGTGTGTAGGTATGTTCATGTGAATGCGGGTGCCCTCGGCAGCCAGAGATGTCAGACATCCTAGAAACTGGAGCTACAGGCAGTTGTGAGGTGCCCGATGGGGCTGCTGGGAATTGAACCGGGGTCCCCCGCAAGAGCAGTGCGTGCTCTCAGCCCGTCTCTTCTCTTTCTTGATAGAGTTCTTTGTTGCACAGAGTTCATCATTTTGATGGGCCCAGTGTACCAATTGGTCCTTGGATGCTTGTGCTTTGGGAAGTGTATCCAGGTCAAGGTGGCGAGGTCTGGAGCCCGTGTCTCCTCCTAAGCATGGTGTGATTCTGGCTCCCATGGTAGGTAGGATGCCACAGTTGCTCAAGCCTTCATAAACACTCACATAAGCTGGTCAGACACTGGACCCTAAAGTCCTGCTGGTGTAAAATAAAAATTGGTGTTGGGCTATATAATGTTTATTATTTTTTTGCGCTGTAATTATTGCAGCAGTATTAGTTAACCCACTATCACAACTAATAAGACACAGACACCTGTTAGATTTTCTAATTGCCTGTTTACCTTGGGCCGGGCAGAAACGTCTACCTATGCTGTCTCAGTAACCTCCCCATCCACCTCTAGCTCCATCCAATTGCCATCTGCCTTAGCCATTCCTATCTGGACTACCTTCCACCCCTAATCTTAGAAGTACTTGCTTGTATTCTTCATTTGGGCCTTTCCATGCCATTACTGGAGTCCTTTCTCCAGGCCCAGGTGACTCCTTTTCCATGCCAACCCATTATGGCATCCTCCTGCCTCTTCCTGTCTGTCTCTTTCCCATGATTCTCTGGAACCCAAAGCCCAGAATGCCTACCCCATTCTGCCCTGCCCGGGTGTAGGCCTTTAATCAACCAATCAGGTATAGTGTCTTAGACAGGTTTAGACAACAATTAAAGGCTTATCCAGGCGGTAACCAGCTCTTGAGGGCCAGTCATTGGCATCAAAATACAAGCATCAAACCAACCCCCAACGGGATCCAAGCTGTGCACAGGGTGTTCTCTGAAAAAAATTGAAATTAAGCTGTAAATTTCAATATAAATTAGAGGGGGGACACCAGTGTGCTCGTGTGCTAACACTTGGAGGGTGTGAGCTTGCAGCCAGGCTGAGATGTCGCAAGACTCTCTGAAATAAATGAAGGGACCTAACCAAAGCTCTTGCTTTGTGACTATGAGGGCCTGAGGGCAGACCCCAGAACCCATGAGGAGGCAGAGACACCCTCAAACACGGCCAGAGGTCTCTCCCAGGTGACCTCAAATCCAGCCCAAGTGACCACCCGGCAGAAAAGCTGTGTAAGCATTTGGGGATTATTTGGTATCATTAGGCAGCCCGTCCTGCCTGAGCTGCTGCCCAGAGTGAATATAGTCCTGACACAAAGCCTGGCAGACGGTGCGTGTGCGTGCTCGCATGTACGTGTGCGTGCTCGCATGTACGTGTGTGTGTGTGTGTGTGTGTAGGAGGAGACAACTAAATATAAAAATATACATGTGGCCAGATATGGTGGCTTAATCCCAGCACCGGGGAGGCAGAAGCAGGAGGATCTCTGTGAGTTCCAGGCCAGCCAGGGCTACATGATACTCCCTGCCCCCAGGGTCTTGCTGTTTGCTCCTTGAGATGTGCTGGAGCATTTTGATAAAGCCGGTAAGTGGGGATAGAACTCCTCTGCTTTAGGCGAGAAATGCACTTTGTATCTTATTTTTCTTTACACAAACGGGGCTGGCAGGACGGCTCAGTGGGTGGGCGCTTTGGTGTATGAAGGTGACAACAGCTCAGAACCTCAGCAGGCAGTTTTAAAAA